TTTTTTTGCAGAATCTTTCCTACTTTCTGAAAGGTTTTACATCGGTATGTTTAAGGATATCTACTCGATATAAAGCAATATTTATTAATACTTATTTTGACTCAAACTCTTAACTAAATGAATATAGAAAAAATATGCCGGTTTAAGAAAGTTTTAGATAGATATTTGCAATCATCCAGAACAAAAAGTTTTATCAAAAATTAAACTTAAAAAGTTTTATAGAAGTTTTTAAAAATATGCAAAAAAAATCATTTCTGACACCCCTAGGCTTAGTACGTCAATATAATTCACCAAAACCATACTGCAGTCCTTCAATTATCATACAGGGAAATTTTCACCTTTCTAAACATCCCAACGAAAGATTTGACAGGTTCTTTAGAAAACAAAATGCAAGCCTTTAATCTCAATTAAAATTCACTTTTTCAAACAAAATGTTAATATATCATTCTGAACTATTTCATAATGTTGAGAATTTTTTAAAAAAAGGTTCTTGGTGGAAATAAAAGCCAAATATTTTTGTATTGGTGCCAAAATGCGGGGCGTGGAGACAGAATAGCGGGAGGCTTGGTGACGTCACAGAGGCTGGGAGACCAGTTTTGCGGGGCCTGGAGGTAATTCTGAAAATCCTAAGGCTTGGAGGTCATTTTTGCGGGGATCATGGCGCCTCTGCACCCCCTCCCTCGCTGGAAACCCTAGTATGATGTTCTGCAAGATAAACAGTTAAGAGAAACAACTGTACTGTGTAATTATATACACGAATTTCTGACATTGTTAAGCTATAGTACAACACAGTATGCAATAAAACAATATAAACATAAACAAACAAATTTTAAACTCTAGCAGACGGATTATAGCTTTCCTAGTAGGCATCACCATTATACATCAAAAAATCATTTACAAAGACGATTTCAAATTCGTCACTGAATTCCCATATTTATTGGGACACCCTGTATTACATCTTTAAACCAATCCCTCACCTGGTCTATTTTTACTTGAGAATTAAGTCCGCTTGAAAATCCATATTTATTCAGCACATTTAGGAATTTAACCGGTGTACAAGCTAAATTACAGTGATACCTATAGAATGGAAGAGAAAGACGACTTTTAGCAATAGCATGAAACTCAAAAAGGAAGCTCACTTAGAAGTACATTTTGAAGTCGCTTTCATGGTGATCCTGTGATCAGTATTATGTTTCGAATCCAAAATTTAAAAATGAATCAGTCCCTTAAATCTAACTCACTGAAAGCTGTATCTAAAGGTGTAAGGGTAGAATGTATTAACTCACTGAAAGCTGTATCTGCAAGGTGTAAGGGTAGAATGTATTAACTCACTGAAAGCTGTATCTGCAAGGTGTAAGGGTAGAATGTATTAACTCACTGAAAGCTGTATCTGCAAGGTGTAAGGGTAGAATGTATTAACTCACTGAAAGCTGTATCTGCAAGGTGTAAGGGTAGAATGTATTAACTCACTGAAAGCTGTATCTGCAAGGTGTAAGGGTAGAATGTATTAACTCACTGAAAGCTGTATCTGCAAGGTGTAAGGGTAGAATGTATTAACTCACTGAAAGCTGTATCTGCAAGGTGTAAGGGTAGAATGTATTAACTCACTGAAAGCTGTATCTGCAAGGTGTAAGGGTAGAATGTATTAACTCACTGAAAGCTGTATCTGCAAGGTGTAAGGGTAGAATGTATTAACTCACTGAAAGCTGTATCTGCAAGGTGTAAGGGTAGAATGTATTAACTCACTGAAAGCTGTATCTGCAAGGTGTAAGGGTAGAATGTATTAACTCACTGAAAGCTGTATCTGCAAGGTGTAAGGGTAGAATGTATTAACTCACTGAAAGCTGTATCTGCAAGGTATAAGTGCAGTAGGTAAAGTATTAACTCACTAAAAGCTGTATCTGCAAGGTATGTGGGTAGAAGTTATGGTATTAACTCACTAAAAGCTGTATCTGCGAGGTATGTGGGTAGAAGGTAAGGTATTAACTCACTGAAAGCTGTATCTGCAAGGTATAAGTGCAGTAGGTAAAGTATTAACTCACTAAAAGCTGTATCTGCAAGGTATGTGGGTAGAAGTTATGGTATTAACTCACTAAAAGCTGTATCTGCGAGGTATGTGGGTAGAAGGTAAGGTATTAACTCACTGAAAGCTGTATCTGCAAGGTATGTGGGTAGAAGGTATGGTCCTCCGAACCCAAATCCATATCCCAGATTAAACCCATAGGTGTACACTACATCAGGCATGGTCAGCATATCTAATCATTTCAGTTTATTTCAACCATCTTAAACCAGTCAAATCATGGATCCCAACCGGATCAATCATTTGCTGATACTGCCCGGCTTAGCTTATTTGTTCTATTTATAAATTTACTGGTACCAGCTTGTCTAGGTTACCCAGTTTATAGTGGACCCAGCATGTTAATTCTGCACAAAATATGACTGGCTGGATCTATGTGATTTCTACCATTTCTGGGGAGGGGGGGGGGGGGCAGGGTACTCATTCAACACTATTGGATAGGTGTGAAACAACTGAATGCAGTCAAATGGAATTCTGCTGGGTTTCTGATCAGGCATGTACGGCTTGGTGCAGGCAGACCAATACAAGAATAAGTTAGAATCAATAATTTGAGCTATTAATATATTGCAATTTAAACGACGACTAGTTGGACAAAAAATCGTCGTTTTCAGTGCATAGTATATAAAACAAATAAAGAATAATATGAAGTATTAACTATATACCAATGCGTCGAAAAATAATCGATGATTTCAGGTTGTCATATCTGAATGATTGGAATTAAATGATTTTTTTACGATCCCAGTCGAATATTGCAACATTCTGAATTTGTATGGATGCTATGTTCTTCAGTTTGAGTCGTTTTTAACAATTTTCTCCTTATGAACGCAACAGATAGAAGTAAGATTATCAGCAATCACCTTCGAATATTTTTCGACACGGCGTAACCTATATACCCCCTTTCATTTTTCGTAAACACTCCCTTTAACTATAGACTTGTCCAGGATTGTCCAAATGGACCATGCCGCGCCATGTTCAATATCAATATGTCTGGGATTGAATAAAAGACTGATTCCTTGTGGCCAAACTCTATTATTCTGAAGAACATCTGCAATACTATCCCCAAACCCTCCAGCAACCAGGGCCCAGCCATAGCTCTGCTTTCTTAACAACACATGTTAAACTAAAGTAAATTCCACGGAACAATGAAATCTAAAATGTTTGCAAGCATACCTTTTCTGATTAATGAGTTATTGTGAAGAACCAAATGAATTTCTAATATACAACAGAATACATTTGTGTATAAGTATACTTGTGCGTAAATTCAAAACTAGAGAACCTACGAGTACGGGACGCACAAGTATACTTGTGCGTAAATTTAAAAGTAGAGAACCTACGAGTACGGGACGCACAAGTATACTTGTGCGTAAATTTAAAACTAGAGAACCTACGAGTACGGGACGCACAAGTATACTTGTGCGTAAATTTAAAACTAGAGAACCTACGAGTACGGGACGCACAATTATACTTGTGCGTAAATTCAAAAGTAGAGAACCTACGAGTACAGGACGCACAAGTATACTTGTGCGTAAATTTAAAACTAGAGAACCTACAAGGCCGCAAAGTAGTACCAGTAATGATGCATAAATTTGACCTTCTCCTTCTATCTTGCTTGCAGAGAACATACGATATCAATGAAGCAATATCTGGGTTTTACTTGGTGATGTAAATTCTTAGAATTTCTATTATTTGGTTGAGAAGTAAAATTTTCTTTTCAGCAAATCCCTACAAAGCAATAGGCAAATAAGTAAAATGAGGCTCGGAAGCCTTCCCTCCCTCCCCTGATTCGACATATCTATGACATTTTATTTCCGTAAATTTTACAAAAAACGTAACAATTTTTTTCATGAACAAGGGAATTTTCTGTTTTTTATTTAATAATCCTTATTCTGTAAGAGCTTAGAGGAGAGGGGGGGGGGGAGATAACTCCCATACAATTTTTATTAATTGGATTTAACTACGCTTTGTTTAGAGAATCTGTTTAAAAATAAATTAATTTTAACTCTTTTTTAAAATTGTGTTTTCCTGAGGTTGGCTGCAACTAAATCATCCTTTACAGCTTTCACAGCAGGGTCAATCTTTTCTAGAAAATAATTTTATCATTTTCAGAATTGTCTTTGTTTTTACCCCAAACAGATTTAACAATATACTCCTTGTAGTGCAATAGAATCATGTTTCTGAATTAAATTTGTATTAATTATTTTACGAAAAAGCAACAAGTTTAATATTTGTAACAATCAGCTCAGTATAAGTCTAATAAATAAAACGCTTATGAACAATGGCTCCATGTTTTTGAATTTGTAATTAACTTGAAACTTTGAATACAACAAAATTCACGGAAATTCATATTTTAATATGAATTTTAAAAATTTAATAAAAAAAAAATTATATTTATTTTCGATATACTTGTTTGGGGGCGTGGTCTTAAAGGGAGTGTTCGCGAAACATGAAAGTGGGTATAGGCTTAATGCGATAAAAAAGCGCTTTTGATCGCTACTAATCTTACCTCTATCTGTTGCGTCTATAAGGAGAAAATTGTTAAAGACGTCTCATACAGAATAACTTAGCGTCCATACAAATTGAGAAAATTGCAACATACTACTTAGACCGTAAAAAAATCAATTTAATTTCAAACAAATTATTCAGATATTACAACCTATAGTCATCGATTATCTTTCGCCGCATTTGTATATAGTTTATATTTCATAATATTTAATTTTTTTAGAAAACGTTTTTAATGGATTTCGAAAAATGTGAGTGGTGCGCGGCATTCTTAGATAGTTGCGCAAGCGACAAGAGAAATAATCAAATTCAAAACAAATTGATTAAAAAATATTATAAAATATAAACTATATACAAATGTGGCGAAAGTTAATCGATGACTATAGGTTGCAATATCTGAATGATTTTAAATGTATGTTTGACCCTGGAAGGATGTTATTTTACCTGCAATACTTGCAACAAGAAACAAAAATTGTTGATTCATTTTCTCCGCCGCAGCTGCCATCACACTCGGATTCAATCTTTAATATAAAACCAGTTTTACAACTTTTTAAAGTGCCTCCACATTTAAAGAGTTGCATGTCAGATTCAAAACGGTACCATTAAACGCTGTGCCAGATCAAGAACGTGTGAGATATCCATTGTTTTACGTTTTTAAAAATGATTATTTTTAATTGTGGTTGAACATTTCTCGTTTTGGATTTGGCATAATTCTGTACCATAAAAGGAAGGTTTGATTCACCGCTTCTTGATATAAAAGCGCAAACTCTTCCTTTAAAATTAAGACTTATACATAAGAATTGCATTAATTTTCAACAAAAAGGTTAAAAAAGGTTAATCCTATTCAGATTTTGCATACTTTACACTTTTTTAATTTATTCCAATAAACTAAATTTATTCCAATAATCTTGATTCATTCCAATATTAATTTATTCCATTAATCTAAATTTATTCCAATATTAATTTATTCCAACAATCTTAATTTATTCCAATATTAATTTATTCCAATAATCTAAATTTATTCCAATATTAATTTATTCAAATAATCTAAATTTATTCCAATATTAATTTATTCAAATAATCTAAATTTAATCCAATAATCTAAATTTATTCCAATAATCTAAATTTATTCCAATATTAATTTATTCCAATAATCTAAATGGTTAAATTCCAATTTTTGATAACGTTTGCAAAATAATAATAATAATAATAATTATAGTAGCCATAATAATAATAATAATAATAATGATAATAATAATAATAATAATAATAATAATAATGATAATAAAAATGATTATAATAGTAATAATAATAATAAAAATAGTAAAAACTAAAAAGGCAATATTAAAAATGTGCAATAGAAATAAGAAATATTATTAATAATTAAATAAGAAAAGAATATTTAAACCTTGAGGTATTATCCGCCCCTGCTTGAGGCATGATGGAGAGAGATGAAATTAAGAAAAAACATTTAAAACTGACGTTTCCTTGCATCTTTAAATCTATAATTTTCTGGAAAATAGAGTCCCAGCGATCTATTTACGAAGTACTAATTAATTACGCCTAGACCAGGCTGATTTTAAGGTGTCGACAGGCATTCTATTTTGGTGTAAAAGCTTCAGTTATAAAAGAGTAGTTGGTAAAATTCAAATAAATTTTCCATTAGATTGTGTGAGTTATTTAATAACAAAGCAAACTCATAGGTCTATACAATACACACCCCACTATTGTTTCAGTAGAAGTAAATATTTCCATTTAGTGTATAGCGCCGATATAAGAATTTATCTCTAATTAGATAATGAGATAGATAGAAAGATAGATGTTAGCGCCATACTTTTTCTATTGTTTCAGAATAGACACCAAACACAATACTGAACCCTGATTGGATCAGGCGCTAATGAACTCGGCATACAGGGGTGACCCGGTTTTTAATTTTTCTTTAAACGTAATTTCAATTAACCTCCAATTCAAAGGTTCCATGCTTGAATCACACCTTTACACCTATCTTTGAGCAACGATGAGGAAGATAGTATATTTTTTTCTTAAATTCTGTTGTTTGTCTTATTTGTATCTGCTGCATACATCTGCTATCCAATCCAGTAGAGAAAAGACTATTGGAACTTTTTTGTTAGACAAATTTTTTTTCTTTGTTATTAAAGGGACTGTAAGCGCAATTTCAAGTGACCCTTCATATATGAATATAAAGATGGCAAAGCTGGATTTAAATTTAAAGCCATGCCTGATCAATTATGTACAGTGAAACCCTTAATAACGAATACATCGGAAGAATTTATCAAATGTCGTCTTGACAATTTTTCAATGAGTTTTATACTATATATTACGTAAAATTCAGTATTTGCGAAAATAAATAAATAGCCGTGAATATGCGGGAACAATTTTAAAGAGTTCCATGTAATAATTTAATAAAAAAAACTAAGTATCTGCAACATTCCATTATCAGAAAGTGAAAAATACGACATTTGATGAATTCTTTCGATGTATTCGTTATTAAGGGTTTCACTGTATTAGATATTGAAATGTTTTTGATTCTTTAAACTCAATATTTTCATTGAAGTTTCTCAAACTTGCGCATTTCTTGTTCATAAAAAGCAACGGAAAACTCACAGAAATAAACTCTCTTCGGGTCAGAAAAACGACAGTTTCTTTCACATTTTTTGATGAGATTAAGGTTTCAATGATATCGTTGTCATCGTTGCAAGGAGGGTCGTTTGAATTTACGCTTACAGTCCCTTTAAGATGAAACGTCACTTGAAAGTACGTAGACAGTTTCTTTAATGACTAAAGTTAAATTCTGCTTTAATAATCGTTTAAGAACTTTGTCTCTTTATTTTTAAGTAGCACTGTATAGCGAAATATTCTTTCAAAAAGGATTTCATACACTTAACTCTTTTGGAAGGTTTTTGCATTTTGTTCATATTCTTTAAGTTATTATTTCACAACTTTTAGTCTTTTTAAACTCCAGATAAATTTCCCTGGGGTACATATTTTTCCCCACTGATAAGAATGTTTGTGAACATACTTTCCCCACTGATAAGAATGTTTGTGAACATACTTTCCCCACTAATAAGAATGTTTGTGAACATATTTTCCCCCACTGATAAGAATGTTTGTGAACATATTTTCCCCACTGATAAGAATGTTTGTGAACATATTTTCCCC